AAGGCGGCCCTTGTTCCTACACGTATTACCTGGGGCAACAGTGAGGAGTAAATAAGCTGATCCGTTCCGTTTCTCTGGATTCCTGTAAGTGTTCCTAGAACAGAGCTCTGTGGAAAGAGACTCTGAGGGGAGAGAAACCTGTTTTGATGTCTCTTTTAAAGGTAGCTGATTCTTAGTCTCATTCAAACCCTCAAAGGAGTCAAGGGTAAGATTTTTAATCTGCCACCCTCCTTTTAAACATGTATACTGTTTTGTCCTAGTCCAACACAATCATTTAACAAAAGACACTTTTGTAAGTCTTACATTTAGTCTTCCTGTAGTAGATAGTTGATATAGAGGCTGAATAGTGATTGTAAAAGTTCACTGAGATCACACCTTCTTGGCAAATGTTTTTCCTTTAATTTTAAGGAAAATTTTAAGTGACATCAGATTGTTTGTTTTTAATATATTTTATTGATTTTTTTACCAAGTGGAAGGGAGAAGGATAGTCAGAAACATCGATGAGAGAGAACACTTATCAGCTGCCCCCTGCACACTCCCCAATGGGGATGTGCCCACAACCAAGGTGCATGCCATTGACCAGAATCGAACCGGGGACCTTTCAGTCTGCAGGTCGACACTCTATCCACTGAGCCAAATCGGTTTCGGCTGACATCAGTTATTAACCAACCCAACATTTATTAAATATGCTACGTATAGGTAAATACTCTCCTGGATTTTGTTTGAAATTGTTCAAACAGAATTTTATTCTAGATCAGTGGTTCTCAACCTTTCTAATGCCACAATCCTTTAATACAGTTCTTCATGTGGTGGTGACGCCCAACCATAAAATTATTTTTGTTGCTACTTTATAACTGTAATTTTGCTACTGATAATGAATCATAATGTAAATATCTGTGTTTTCCAATGGTCTTAGGCAACCCTGCTAGTGGTTCTCAACCTGTGGGTCATGGCCTGTGTTAAAGGGTCTCGGCATTAGAAAGGTTGAGAACCACTGATCTAGAGGAATATGCTTTTTCTCTCCCCTGCTCCTAAAAATGGAAAAGACAGAGTTCTCCCATCTTTTATAACCAAAGGACAGGCACCTGCCTCCCAGCCAGGATGGGTGACTCAGCTCCCCCCAGATCCACATGTCCTGAGTTCCTGTCGCAGAGTGGGGTGAGGCTGGGGGTGACCAGGAAAACACTGGAAGGAAGGAGTCTTCAAAGGCCTCTTTTTTGCTGCTTCCAAGTTTCCTAGGCTCTGACTTCAGGCGTAAAGATCAGGTGTTTAAGAGCTGGAGATAGAGCATGTGTATTTCTTGAAAGCACGTGCTCTTTCTTGTTGGAATGGTTTCATTTTTGCTCACTCCACGGGACTGAATGTAGAGGCTCTATACCACTTACCTGTGAAAGGGTCCCTGATCCTCCCTCAGGGTCACCTATGTTTTCAACCTGTGATGCATCCAGAGAATTTGATGAAGGGGACATATTAACTTGAATGAAATAAAATTAATTTAGGTTCCTTTAACAAGCAGAATTTTAATCAGGTCCATATCAAAATTGTTTCCCCATGTTCCAAGCTAATTTCTGTGACAATTTCACTTTAGTTTGCTGGCCCATTAATCCAAGAAAGGTGAGTCCCTTGACCGAGAAGTCCAGTTCTGGTGTTGGAGGGTTCCCGGAAGGTCCTGCACTTGCAGTGCCGAAGGGCCCGATTAAACACTGATAAATGTTTCTTCCAAAAGGCAACAAGCACACACAGTTAAGTGCACAACCTTTGGGGAATTCTGCTGTTTGAAAACCTGTGCAGAGCACTTTACAAGGCTATCGAGCTTGGGAAAGATACGTCTGTATCTTGGCAAGACAGTGCCTGAGTTTTCCCTTTTTGTTGGCTACCTCATTTTTTAAAAATGCATCCTTCCTGTCCCCCATCTCCCCACTCCCCACCCAGCCCCTCAAGAAAGGAGAGGCAGCTGCCTCTAAATTTTGATATTTCACACCAAATCTTGTCTTTCTTGCTTTCATGTGTGGAAAGATTGATTTGTAGCTGCTGTCTTTCTCTTCCTGATAGACCTTGTGGGTGGTAAAGATCTCAGGGAGTGAATATTAAAAATGAATGAGGAGAACTGGAGTAGTTTGTCTGAGGTGGGGTTGGAGAGGGTCTGGGTGGGGGAGGTTTAACAAAAGGCATTGATGTTTTAAATGCACAGAAATGCCATCCATCAATAATAAATGGTGTGGCATAGAACAGATGTGCCAAATTGAGTTATTACAGCATATGGATCTCTTCATAGAGGGAGGAAAGAAAGCAGCATAGCTGGTGTTTTTAAAATTATCTGAGAGCTTTAGAATATGATTTTGAATACCTTGTTTTTACAAAGCTCTGATAACTGCTAGTTGGAAATACAAAAGGTTGAAATTTCCGAAGTTTTTGAATTAAGTTTTAAAAGAGTTCATGTTTTTTCTGAAGAGGGAGACAGAATCTGAAAATGATTTCTGGCCCTTTATGGCTGAGTGCTGGCTGTTTAAGAGCTTGTATTGTAATTATATGAGGAATGAAATTACATTACAAAACTTAAGTCACGTGAAACTATTAGCTAGTGTTTTCTACATTTACATGGATGGTATCTCTAGGTACGTACTTAAACTACAGAGGACCACATAGGAAACCCCCTCATGCTTTGAGATCAATGCATCACCCTCAGCATTTTTGATTCATGAGCTAATTGTATACAGAGGCTCTGAGAATTATGAGAAATATTAGCTTCAGTGTCTCAGAGAAAATCACTCCCAGGGAATTGGACAGATAAAAATCTTTTAGATAAGCTGGAATATTTTGTAAGTGTGGATACCAGTGCAGAGGTCAAGCTTTGAGTTTTACTTGATCTTTGCAAGGTGTGTCACAGGCATAGCAGCGGACAGTGTGTGAGGGTTTGAAATGAGTCCTGGGTAGGAATGGGTGGGCTTGGTGAAGGAATCCGCTCGTCTCACTATTGGCCCACGCTTGCCTTTTTGGAAACTTCTGTGGAACTGGGTCTCTGTTTTCCCAACAAAACTAATTCCTCTTTGTTTTTTTCTAAGGTGAACAAAAAGTCTTAAGTCTTGCAAATAACAAGTCGGTTTAAATTTGAGTTTTGTTAGACTCAGAAAACAATTACTTAGTTGTTGTAGAAGGGTTTGTGGAATCTTTGGGAATGTTCTAATTGAAAACGAGGATACTGATTATATGAAAAATCTATTACTAACTCTTATTTTAGCCATTTATGTTAGCATGTTAAGCACCCAGTCACCAGTGTCTGACCCTATACTTTCCGCCCAGAAGAAAAACGGGCTGAGCGCTTAACATGTTAACTTTGAATCTTTCAGGTGCAGAATTTATTTGAATTAATCTTTTCACCTGCAAGGGATCCTAGCTTGCCTTAAACACACACACACACACACACACACCCTGTCAAACTGTCTTTAGAGCCACCAAATAAATCTATTTTATAGTCCCATTAGATACCTCGCTCAAAGTCCCATTCACTCTGGGAGGTTTGGATGCACAACCAATGTCCTGAACTCATCCCTGTGTCCACTTTGGGCTGTTAAGGTGTTGAAATGGAAGAAGGCTGGTGGTGAAATTAAATTGTGGCTCAGGGTAATTAGGAAGGGAGAAATCCAAGCACTTCATAGCACATTGTCTGGCCTTAGTTGCAGCTGCAAACAACGGATATGAATTTAACCAGTTGCTGCAGTGCAGCTGGTTCAGATCTGGCTTTACAACTGGCTGAAGTAAAATGAAATGGCTGGAAAATTCCAGTCAAGTAACACCAGTGGGAACATGTGGGATTAAATAGTGTGAGCAAATGCTGGCTGAGTTCAGGAAAAAAACTTCAGACATAAACTTGAGGGTGGTGGTGAGGACTCAGAGAGAGAGAGGCGGGAGGGGGCCAGGGCATTTTCTGGCCTTTTTAACAAGGGTCTATTGTTTTGATTAGTTTCCTTGCAGGAGGTGGTTTCCTCCATCCAGAGTAATTTGTAGTGTGCTGGCCTGTCTACTTTCCTCCTTGACTGAAGTCACCTGATACTTTTTTTTTTCCTCCAAGAAAGAAAGAAAAATAAGCTGTTACCTCAGTGACTGACAAGAACACAAATCTCAAAACGTAGATTTTTGGGACCGTTTTCCCACCTCGTGAGACCAGGTGGTCCCCTTCCTTCCACCACCTGCACGGGAGATGTTGAGTGTGTTAGAGGCCTGGGTGCTCAAAGGTTCAGTTTTTAAAAATAATTGTTCTAAGGAAAGAAAGTGGGTTCACTAAAGGGAAGCTTTTGTATTGTCAGGTTTGCTTGTTTTTCTCCATGAATTGTCTGCGTAATTTGGAGAATTGAGAGTTGGCTGAAGGGCCATGTGCTGTGTGGGGGAAACATTTGCTGTAACTAGGTTTAGGGTATTTATTCTCTGCCTGTGCTTGGGAGCTGTATTTGCCAAGTGATTTTCCTGTCGCAGGGATTAGCCAGTCATGTGAAACATTTGATTAAGGGACTTAGAGAAATCTCTCCTGAGGCCCTTGCTTTGTAGCTGTGTGGTAGCTGTCGCTGGGATGACCCCTCAGCTCCCTGCTACGTCCCCAGTGGTCACAATTAGTGTTTAGTCATGGGATTTTTTTTTTACAGTCCATTGAAGAAACTTAGGAATCAAAGTTCTGGTAGGTATATTGTTAATAGCATCATTTAGAAAGGAATCTTGTCTTTATCAGAGCTATACCATTCATCTGCTTACGGATAGAGACAAGATATAAACGATCGCTAAAAACTGCCTATATTCCCACCAGCAACACTGTTCTCAGTCAAGACACGTATTCCTCATGTACATTCCCTGGACTTGTGTTACATGTTCATTCTAAACATATAGGATTGTAATTTTTAGTTTTTCTCGAGCTATTCAACCCCAGAGTAAGGAAAGCTCTCGCTACAGAGGGAGCCACCATCCTTTTCCCTCCCGCCGTGTTAACGCTGTGCATGTCCCTCCTCCCACAGATCACGATCATCTTCAAAGCCCACCGTGAGTGCACGGAGCAGAAGGTGTACCAAGCTGTGACCGACGACCTGCCGGCGGCCTTCGTGGACGGCAGCACCAGCGGCGGGGACGGCGAGGTCAAGAGCCTGCGCATCGTGGAGAAGGAGAGCGGCCGCTACGTGGAGATGCACGCCCGCCACATCGGGACCACGGTGTTCGTGCGGCAGCTGGGCCGCTACCTGACCCTCGCCCTCCGCATGCCCGAGGACCTGGCCATGGCCTACGAGGAGAGCCAGGACCTGCAGCTGTGCGTCAACGGCTGCCCCCTGAGCGAGCGCATCGACGACGGGCAGGGCCAGGTGTCCGCCATCCTGGGCCACACCCTGCCCCACACCTCCCCGGCCCAGGCCTGGCCCGGCCACACACTGGAGACGGCCAGCGCGCAGTGCCACGAGAAGATGCCGGTGAGGGACATCTACTTCCAGTCCTGCGTCTTCGACCTGCTCACCACCGGCGACGCCAACTTCACCGCCGCCGCCCACAGCGCCCTGCAGGACGTGGAGGCGCTGCACCCGCGCAAGGAACGCTGGCACATCTTCCCGATCAGTGGGCACGGGGCGCCCCGGGCAGGCAGCCCTGGGTCTCTCAGTCTAGGACTCACATGCTTGATCCTTATTGTGTTTTTGTAGGGGTTGTCTTTTTTTTTTTTTTGTCTATAACAAAAATTTTAAATATATATTGTCATAATATATTGAGTAAAAGAGTATATATATGTATATACCATGTATATGACAGGATGTTTGTCCTGGGACACCCACCAGATTGTACATACTGTGTTTGACTGTTCTCGCGTATGTTGGATGTAGTGTTTTTTTGATTGTATCGATTTTATTTTGCAGTTTTGTGAAATGTTTGATAATGTCCCTGCCTGGGGACCTGTTAGAAAGCACTTTATTTTTTATATATTAAATATTTATGTGTGTACCTGGTTAGTATGTATAGTACATATACAGAGACACCATACCCAGCGAACCTTTGGATATGACCAATGATGACGTGTGTAGCTGTTGTTGGCCGTCCCCCTCTGCCCTTCCCCATTGCTACTGATCCCCAGCGTGTACAGCCTCCTGTTCCTTTGAGCTCCTCACCTCTTCTGTCCTCACTTGATTGGAAGGAGGGTTAACTCCTTACAGGTTCTTTCTGGCAGTTAAATACCAATGTTGAAGAAGCCTAACAACTGTCACTTTCCCAGAGGGCAGGGGAATATTGCTGTGACCCTTATTAAATAGGATTGTTGTGAGAACTTATGACATGTTAAGTTGAACCATATGAAACTGTCTTTATAGGTCAGAAAGGGCAATTTCATCCGTAAAGAACGAGGCATTTTACTTGACTCTCATAGCTGTCAGCCTTTCTCATCCCATATCCCCTTTTAAAACTATAGTGTTTCTCCCTCCCCCCCCCCCCTTTCAACTCTTTGCATTGAACAAAAAAACATTTAGTGATGAGGCCTTGCTGCTGTAGAATTAATGTGAGGCCACTTTCTTAGCCTTCTCTACTGAGGCCCAGACCCCATCACAAAGCTTCCCACGCTGGGTGCCCTCCACACCTCAACATTGGTATTTAACTTGGTGCCCTTCACACAGTCTGACCTGCTGGTCTGCAGAATGGAAGGAAGGGACTGGGTGTCAATGACAAGCTTCCTTGGCCCGACTCCGAGTGCTGCTCAATCGAGACATTCTCATTAAGCAGCATTTCTTCCCAGGTGGTCCCTTTCCAAGCACATTCTCCCTCGTAACATTTGTAGGTGAATATTATTCAGCCAGTTGCTCATGTAACTTGGTGAAATCCCCATAAAATAGAAAAACTCCTTACCTCTCACTTCCATTGTCGGCACCCTCCCTGCAAAAGGAAAATAACAGGCGAGGCACGCGCAGTAACGGAGAAAGTAAACAATAGGTAGGTTTATATAGTCGTATCTCAAAATGTGTTTGGTTCCAAGAAAAAGTGATAGAACTTGTGCTTTACCTTAAGTTTCCACTAATGTAAGCAACAGTTAATAAACTTTAAATACCATAGCAGTTCGGGTCAAGATTGTGCTAAATTTCAGTTGGCCAGGTAACGGCTTCCCTTTACCCTGCTCCGTGGGTTAGCGCTGCCAGAGGCCCAAACTGGCAGGAAAAGAGGATGCCATTTTCCTGAAGTTCTTTTTTCTTAGTGAACTGCTGTCGTCATCCATCCCAGGATGGAACTGTGAGTTCACCCAGAAGTGGCAAAAGTCCTCTCGTGGCAAATGGAAGAATAATTGGGCCAGTCGGGGGAAAATGAGGACATCCTGCTGCTTAACAAACATTCAACACCAGAAAGCTGAAACTCAACTTGTCATCCTTTTATAAAAACTAGGGGGCTACCTACCATCTGCTCTTAACTGTGGCTGCTGCTGCTGCTCACTAGGGAACCATGTGCCTGGGTCAAAAGCTACAGCTAGTCAGTAATTTTGCTTTGGAATTGAGAAGAAATGAGAGGAAAAGAGGTACTTCTAACCACTATGTTTGTGCAGATAGTATAAAAGTGAAGTAAAAATGAGTAGGAAATTCTATAATGAGTTTGTGGAGTGTGTATGACTAATATACCTTTGTCTTTTGTAGGGAAAGCAAAACAAGCACTCTACTAATAGTCGGGAAAAGAAAATTGGACCCATTTTGCCATATTTAACTGGAAGGGATGCTTCGAAGCATCCTATATCCCTAGGATGAATACCAGTATAATTAGCTATTCTCTCTCAATAACCAGTGTCCCTGCACAACATCAACAATCCTCAGAATGGTTGCAGAAACGCCAGTGTTTCTCTAGAGAAGGGCCAGCTTTATTTTCTGTTTCTTTTCTGGGGTTTCTAGAGAAAAATGAAACTTGCACATGTTGGTTCTTGAAATTCTCCTTAACCAGACGAGTTTGGGTGACACCCAACATGTGGACAGGCTGTAGCTGTTCCCATGTCTCATGGGGAGCCTCACACTTGGAAACACTGGATTTCACAGATGCTCCACATGGCTGTCTTTTAAAAAAGACTCAGAACATTTTTGTCCCCTTTTTATGCTTGGAAACCCCACAGTGTGTCAAGTCTTTAGATGTGGTTCATAGGTATATGAATAAGTATCTGTGTAAAACAGTGAGTGTGCAGTGTGTAAATACTTTAAATTATTATGCTAGAAAAATAAAGTTAACATACCAAGCTGTGGAATGTTTGTTCTGTGGTTATAGTGACACCTGCTGGAAGAGCTGAGAAACAGCAGAAGGAAGGAAATGAGGGTGTTTGTGCAAAGTCCTTTAATGGCTACTGACAGCAAGTTGTACCACCTGCCCAGGAAGTGACTTATTTTCTGAACTGTATGACTACAGTTTTTCCTTTTATTAATTTTAAGCAATTGCAAATAAGTATCTGCTAGAATGGTACACTGGTGTTATCCCAGAGGCCTGTCCTGAGTAATAGTTTTGGTCCCTCACAGACATGAGACTTGTATTTTGGTTCTGGAAGGCAGTGTACACTGCAGCAACTTACTCCTGGTGGGGAAGGTCGTGGGGGCAGGACTTTCTAGCTTTGCCACTTTTAAAATCCTTGTTTCTTGGGTGTTCTAAAAAGAGCCATCACAAGATCCCACGTTTAAGAAACATGCCAAAGGGTAAAAAAGTTTGAAAAAGAACTCAAAGACACAGGAAAGCACTGTTACTGCCACTAGTTAGAATGGTACATGAAGCAGATATTGATTGGGGGGTGCAGGGGGAGTAGCCACATAATCGTTGCTTCAGTGAAAAGTTATGTAGACCAGTTTAGAACAAATGAAACAGGAAAATAAATTGTCAATTGAACCACACAAAGATGACAGCAACATAGCCACTGGGTTCCTAGGGCCTCGGCCTGTATCAAGTGAGCACTAAGAAATAATCTACAGCACAATGAAGTCTATGTTTAAAAGGTAAACATTCTTTTCACATACTCTATGGCCAGATCCTCCAACTTTTCAAAGATAGAAATTTGAGCAACTAAGTCCAAAAACCCAAAAGCAAGGCACTTAGCAGCATTCTCTTGCCCGGAGTCAGCTATAGCAACAGTCTCGCATTGCTTCAGTCCTTTCTGAGCAAAGGTACCTTGAACAGTTTTCCCTCCTGTTCCCTCAAATTTGCACGTGAACCAAGAAGCATTTCCCCCACCATTGAAGAGAGAGGAACCCCTCCAGTAATTTCACTGCCTTGTGCACCATAGTGCTTCTGCTTCCATGCATTTTCTGTATGTCTTCCAAATGGACGACTCGTACTCATACTACTATTATTTAGACTAGAGCACATGTGTCAAACACAAGGCCCGCGGGCCAAATCCGTCCCGCCAGGCCTTGCAATGTGGCCCGCACCGAGCTGTCATCACTGCACTCCGCTGCGTTTCCATCACAATGACAGTTTATGACTGTTCAGTAAACCATTCGGCCCGCGATTTAGGCTGGATTTTAGATTTTGGCCCCTTCTCTGATTGAGTTCGACACCCCTAGACTAGAGGCTTGGCGCATGAAATTCATGCATGGGTACGGTCCCTAGGCCTGGCCTACAATCAGGACCATCTTGCCCAGCTACCAGCAGCCAACCCCGCCCCCTGCCACCATCCACCACCAGTTCCCTGTTCCCCATCAGCAATCAGAGCCTGCAGGCCAGGGGAAGGGACCAAGAGGTTGGCCAGCAGGCCCTCATCAGGCAATTGGGGCCTGTGGGTGGGGGCAGCTCCTGCATTGAGTATCTGCTCCCTGGTGGTCAGTGCACATCATACTGACCGGTCGTTCGCCATTCAATTTGCATAGTACCCTTTTATTATATAGGATGGTATTTTCCTTTGAATTTACTGCTCTTCTTCCCTTAAGTACCCCTAGTAAGCAAGATGTTTGACAACAACGAAATAGAATATACAGTCCCTTACACCCAACACGTGATATCTGTGAGGTATGTGCATGGAATGGGGATGTCTTTGTGTCTTCTCCCCCTTGTACAGGTGAACAGGGAGAGTGGGGCGTCCAGTGCCCAGGGGATACACTCACAGGCCCTACAGAGATGGGATGTACACCCTTGGCCTCATTAGAATGAGGTTCAAATCAAATGAACAAACCAATCCTATCAACTAGAATATCTCAAAATCAGTCCATCCAACTCCAGCAAGAAGAAAGCAACAGGCAGTTTCCTAATTGCAAGTTCCTTGTGGGGGACAGTTCCATGACCCATTTTTTATTTCCACTTAAGAAAAAATTGCTAGCGTTTTGCTACCAGATTGAATATACATGATCAACCACATGCAAATTAACCAAGTAGAAATTACATCTGCCATAAGTAACTTTTCTTTTTTTAAAAAACAACACAAGATTACCTCCACGATGCTATTGGATGGCACCAAGGACTTTCAAAGCCTTCCAGCAGAAAGTAGCAAGGTAGGAGTCACTGAAAGTGAGGGTGAGAGGGGATAATAAATTTACTTTCCAGCAAGACTGTCTTGTGAGCTGCCAAAGACATAGCACTCAGAGACGAAAAAAGACCCCAAATAGCTGCAGCAATCCTGAGAAAGAAGAACAAAGTAGGTGGGAATCTCAATACCAGATATCAAGCTGTATTACAAAGCCACTATTCTTAGGCCAAACTGGTACTGGCACAAGAACAGACACATAGATCAATCAAATAGAATAGAGAACCCAGGAATCGACCCAAACCTCTATACTCAATTAATATTTGGCAAAGGAGGCATGAACATACTGTGGAGTCAAGACAGTCTCTTCAACAAATGGTGTTGGGAAAATTGAACAGATACATGCAAACAAATGAAACTAGACCACCAACTTACACCATACACAAAAATAAACTCAAAATGGGTACAGGACTTAAACATAAGACGGGAAACAATAAAAATAGTAGAGGAATCTACAGCAAAATGTCAGACATATGCTGAAGCAATTTCT